ACGCTTGAGTCCATCAATGCTGCCACTTGGACAATCCATCTCATTGGGGTCTTTCTCTTTTTCTCTGACCCTCCACCTTACCAAACATGATACTCTTCTCCAGTGACTGGACCCTCCTAATAATATGTCCGAAGTGTGAGAGACGAAGTTTGGCCATCTTGGCCTCCAAGGAGCACTCTGGCTGCACTTCTTCCTGAACGTGTCTACTACTGGTTTTTTTGGCAGCCCATGGCACTTTCAATACTCTCTTCCAACACCATAACTCAGAAGCATGAATTCTTCTAGGGTCTTCCTTATTCACTGTCCAGCTTTCGCATGCATATGAGGTTATTGAAAATACCATGGCTTGGGTCAGGTACACCTTAGTCCTCAAGCTGGCATCTTTGCTCTTCAACACTTTCAAAAGGTCTTGTACAGCAGATTTGCCTATTGCAATACATCGTCTAATTTCTTGACTGCTGCTTCCGTGAGTGTTGATAGGTGATCCAACAAGAATGAAGTCCTTGACAACTTCAATCTTTTCTCCATTGATAAGAATGTTGTTTGTTTGTCCAGTGGTGAGGATTTTTGTTTTCTTGACATTGAGATGTAATCTATACCAAAGGCTGTGCTCTTTGATCTTCATCAGTAAATGTTTTAAGTCCTCTTCACTTTCAGCAAGCAAGGTTGTATCATCTGCATATCGTAGGTTATTAATGCGTCTTCCTCCAATCCTGATGCCATGTTTCTCTTCATAGACTTCACCTTCTCGGATTATTTGCTCAACATACAGGTTGAATAAGTATGGTGAAAGAATACAACCTTGTCACACACGTTTCTTAATTTTAAACCATTCAGTGTTCCCGTGTTCTGTTCGAACAACTGCCTCTTGGTCCAGGTACAGATTCCTCATGAGCACAATTAAGTGTTCTGGAATATTCATACTTCGCAATGTTGTTCATAGATTGTCATGATCCACACAATCGAAAACCTTTGCATAGTTAATAAAGCACAGGGAAACATCTTTCTGATATTCTCTGCTTTCAGCCAAGATCCGTCGGAAATCTAATGATAACCCTTCCTTCCATGGTCTCTTCTGAATCTGGCTTGAACCTCTGGAAGTTCTCTATCAATGTATGCTTGCAGTCGTTTCTGTATTACCTTAATAAAACTTTACTTACATGGGATATCAAAGAGATTGTCCGATGATTTCTGTTTTCTGCTGGGTCAGCTCTCTTTTGAATGGGCACAAATATGGATCTCTTCCAATCAGTCAGCCAGATATTTGTCTTCCAAATTTCTTGGCAGAGATGAGTGCATGCCTCCTGTGCCGCCTCACTTTCTTGAAAGATTTTAATTTTGATTCTATCAATTCTTGGTGCCTTTTTCTTTGCCAATTCCTTCAGTGCACCTTGTACTTCACCCTTCTGTATCATTGGCTCTTGATCAAATGCTACCTCTTGAAACAGTTGAACATTAATCATTTCCTTTTGGTACAGTGACTCTGTGTATTCCTTCTATCTTCTCTTGATGCTTTCTACATCATTCAGTAATTTGCCCAGATAATCTTTCAATAACGAAAATTGAGGCTTGAATTTTTTCTTCAGTTCCCCCAGCTTGAAATTTGTTGAGCGTGTTCCTCCTTTTTGATTTTCTGATTTCAGATCTTTGCACATTTTGTTGTGATATTTGGCTTTATCTTCTCAAACTGATCTTTGAAATTTTCTGTTCAGCTCTTGGACCTCCCCATTTCTTCCATTTGTTTTAGCGTCTCTATGCTGGAGAGCAAGTTTCAGTGTCTCTTCTGACATCCATTTTGACCGTTTCCTTCTTTCTTGTCTTCTTAATGACTTTTTGCTTTCTTCATGTATGATGTTCTTTATGTCACCCCACAACTCTTCTGGTCTTCAGTCGTTAGTGTTTAATGAATCAAATCTGTTCTTCAGATGATCTCTAAATTCAGGTGGGATATATTCAAGGTCATATTTTGGCTCTTGTGGACTTGTTTTCATTTTCTTCAGCTTCAGTTTGAATTTGTGTATGAGTAATTGATGGTCTGTTCCACAGTCTGCCCCTAGCCTTGTTTTCACTGATGATGTGGAGCTTTTCCATCTTCTCTTTCCGTAGATGTAGTCAATTTGATTTCTATGCATTCCAACTGGTGAGGTCCATGTGTTTAGTCGTCTCTTATGCAATCTAAAGAAGGTATTTGAAATGAACAAATCATTTATTTTGCAGTATTCTATCATGCATTCTTCAGCATCATTTCTGTCACCAAGGCCAACCTTTGCATTTCAATCACCAGTAATGATCAATACATCTTGAGTGCATGTTTTATCAGTTCCAGATTGGGTTGGTAGAATTTTTCTAGTTCATCCTCACTGAGGGCATGTTAACTGAAATAAAAATATCAAAGTGTTGGTAATTGCTGAAGTAGGAAGGAAGGCACATAGGAATTTCTCATTCTATTTTATTTACTTTTGTATATGCTTGAAATTTTCTATAAGAAAATGTTTAAAAATTCAGTAATGCTATTCTTTTTTTGTCACTTCCCAATCATATCCCCAAGGTCTGCATCCTATTGGAAAAATTCTCCTAAAGTCTTATCCCTGTGAAAAAGAAAATATTTAAAAAACCCTTTGTGAATTCTGTCAGAATGCAAAGCCTGAAGTGCTAATCACATCTTCAGTTTCCATCTTTCTGCAGTAAACACAGAGGTGTCCCTTGAAAACTTGTCAATATTGACAGCTGAAAATGAATTTTCTCACTTCTGTGAATTACCTAAAGCTTCATGAGTTAGTTGCTTATAAACTGTTGTAGTATATTTATTTATTAATGGAATTATATAAATGTGAGTTTAAAATATACTGTATGAGCTTAGCAAATCATTTCCTTTGAATACATTGGTTCTTCAGAAACTTGAAGAATTGTATATTATACTTGTAATGATAACAATACAAAAAGCATGAAGTAATTTTTGATGACCCTGAATTTAATGTAGAAAACTTTTTCAACAAACAGTGGTAAAGAATCATTCATAAGCAAATGAGATTTGGAAGAATGACATTTGTTTGACACTTTGACATTTCAATGGCAAATGCCATAAGGACACAGGGTAATTAGATCTTAATGTAGAAAGAAGGCTCAGGCATGAAGATTTCCCCAGATGGGAATATAATTATAAAAATCAATTAGAACTTTGGGGAATAAAAAGTATAAAAAGTGTTTGAGTAGCAGAGCATATTTTACTTTCAAAGCCTGTTAGATTTATACTCACTGCCACTGCCATTGAGTCAATTCCAGCACATAGTGAACCTATGGGATAGAGTAGGATTTCTGAAGCTGTCAATCTTAAAGGAGCAGACCACTTCATCTTTCTCCAACGGAGCAGCTGGTGGGCTCATATTCGGATGTCTTTGTGGATAGCAGCCTGATGTTGAACTGCTTTACCAGCATTCCTTTGTTAGCATTATAGAACCTTGGAAACATTTTAGTTACATCTGGAAACTGCTAGCAGTTCTAAGAGCGCTCCTTCAAAACCAATTTATTTCAGTGACTATTATCTGGAACTCCTATGGGATTTGTTCCCATCCAGAGAGTATGTCTTCTAGAACAGAGTGACAGTGGTAAAAAGATTTAAAACCATTTCATAAGGAACAGTGAAAAGAAAGACCAGTTAAATGGAGATAGAAATCTCAGAGGAGACAAAATAGCTTCTTTTAAATATTTGAGGGATTACTCTATAAAAGGAAGAGTAGATCTGGTGTATGTCAAGATAGAGTTAGAAGCAGTAAGAAAAGATTCAAGGATCCAGATTTCTGTTCAATTTACGAAGAACTTACTAACATTTGGAGGAGTACTTCAGTGACATAAGTAGCTCATTAGAAGGAATTCATACCGAGGTTGCTTGGACAAATCCAAGAGATGTTATGCAATGCTGCTCATATGTGGACCACAGTCCACGGTGCTGTGGAATTTTAAATACCAACAAGGTCACCCATAGTGGACAGGTTTCAACTGCGCTTCCTGACAAAGACAGACGAGGAAGAAGTAGAGATGGTCTACTTCCAAATATTTAATCACTGAAAACCTCATGAATAGCTGTTGAACACTGTCAGATAGCACCAGATAGCATGTTCTTTAATATTAGTCAACAAGAAGAGAAGAAGCTGAACTAAACAATGACATTCTTGAGTATTATGATTATCATTGCAATGGAAACAATATATTCATCAAGAGACTGTCACAGTAACCTAAGATAACACTACAGAATATTTCTAAATGGAAAGTTCTTGATACAGTATGAATACTCCCCTGAGAATATATTTGAAAGCCACAAATCACAGTAATAAAAAATGCCTCCCTCAGAATGGGTCACTGCTGCTTCCTGAAATGTGTTGTATGAAGTCAACTCATTGGATTACATAGCCAGAGCCTCTAAATTGAATAACTCATATGTGTTTTCTACATGAATGTGCTACTATTTAAGAACATAAGGATGCTATTATGATTATAAAACAATGGTTCATTTTAATTTCTAGTCTGTTAAAAAGTTAATATGCATCATTAATATGCATCTCCTCAAACAATAGACACTGCAGGTATCATTTCTGCTAGGCAGAGACCCAAAACACTTTTATGTAGTGAGCATCTTAAGGTTCACCCAAGACCTTTACCTCCAGCTGTGCAGCCTGCACGTGGCAGAAAGCACAGGACATGGAAGCTAGTGGGAGCTGAACTCCAGACCTCATGTGCTTACCCAGCCATGAGTTCTGGCAACAAATTTTATCAGGCCTAGAGTGACCAAACACTCTGGTTTTCTCAGAACTGAAGAGTCTCTCAGGATATGGAACTTTCAGTGCTATGATGATTAGCACAGTGGTGAAAAGGGAGAATGGTTGGCCACCTTATTCAGTGCACAGACCTACTCTATGTGCAAACACTTGTGTGAGAATCCCTCCTGAAGAATTATCACTGTACAGCTGTCTTCACATCACTTCTTTTCTCTGTATTTTTTTAAGGTGAAAGAGCCATGTAATCAAGCTAATATCCTGACCAAGCCCGATCCAAGAACCTTCTGGACTAATGATGGCTCAGGTATGATTGGAAAAATGTACTCCGCTATGATGTGTAGGATGATGCATCCTGTAGTTTATTGTTGTTGTTGTTACTAAATACTATCAAGTCCTTAAAAACAAAAACAAAAGGGCAAGGGTTAGACGAATAATTTTGTTTGTTTATACTTAGTTCAACACTTGAATATATGTAAAAATGGCTTCAGGGTCATCTGATCTTCCCTTACTTCACAAGGAGAAACAGAGAATCACCATCCACATCAGTCCAAGACTGATTCCTGTGAGATGGAGCTCAGACATATCTCTTCTCTCTAACCTTTTTACCAATTCTGATAACAGCTGTCCCGCCCATGACGCTCTCTAATTCTCTACTGGGTGTGATCCCTCATTGCAATGGCCACACAGATCTCAGAGACAATAGTCACAATTATGGATCTACTAGGGAATCACCAGGTTACAATTCAGGATCAGGAACAATTCAGATTCTTCTGAAAAGACAACCATTAGGCCATGTCCACAGGCAAGCCTCTTCCTTAGTCCCTGGGCCCCTTGGGCTGGCCTCTGCCCTGCTCGGGCATGTATTACAAAGCTGTTAACTCCCCAGTATGTGTACTAAAGCATCCCACCTGCCAGGAGGTCTCTTGCACAAAGGCACTTGGCCCTCTTGCTCTGTGGATTGACAAGCCTACTGTGATTGCTTTGTTCATGGGCAGGGACGCCCACTGCATGGTTTCTTGCTGGTCTCCAGGTTTGGTTGCTGTTTTTATCTGCCACTGTTTATCTCCATATCATGCCATCTCCATGTTCCATATCTCTGTGTTTCTGTGTCTAGAAGAGGTTCTTGCAGGTATTCCCGGTTCAAATCCTTCTTCTAGAATTTGGGCAGGTCCTCCCTTTTCCTCTTAGATGGCTCATTTGAAGCCTAATGGGATGGCAAACACTACCAATCCCCTCAATAAGTTTCCATCCGCCTTATTTGCTTGGTTCAACCCCCACAAGTTACCACTCATCTGGCATTTTGTCGTACTGTGGTGGCTAGCTTGTTGCTATGATTCTGAAAGCTATGTCACTGGAATTTTAAATACCAACAAGGTCACCCGTAGTGGGCAGGTTTCAACTGCCCTTCCTGACGAAGACAAACGAGGAAGAAGTAGAGATGGTCTACTTCTGAATATTCAATCACTGAAAACTTCATGAATAGCTGTTGAACACTGTCAGATAGCACCAGAATATTGAATATTGAAACATGAAGCACACCAGAATATTGTCAGATACAGTGTTGGAAGATGAGCCCCTCAAGTTGTTGCTGTTGTTGTCAGGTGCCATCGAGTTGGAACCAACTCATAGCGACGCCATGCACAGCAGAACGAAACAATGTCCAATCCTGGGCCAACCTCACTACCGCTGCCACACTTGAGCCCATCAATGCTACCACCTGGCCAATCCATCTCGTTGGGGGTCTTCCTCTTTTTCTCTGACCCTCTATCTTACCAAGCATGATATCCTTCTCCAGTGACTGGTCCCTCCTGACAATATGGCCAAAGTATTAGATACGAAGTTTAGCCATCCTGGCCTCAAAGGAGCACTCTGGCTGCACGTCTTCCAAAACAGATCTATTGGTTCTTTTGGCAGTCCATGGTACTTTTAGTATTCTCCTCCAACACCACAATTCAAAAGCATCAATTCTTCTATCATCTTCCTTATACACTGCCCAGCTTTCGCATCCACATGAGGTTATTGAAAATACCATGGCTTGGGTCAGGCGCACCTTAGTCCTCAAGCTGACATCTTTGCTCTTGTTGTTGTTGTTGTTGTTGTTAAGTGCCGTTGAGTCGGTTTCGACCCATAGCGACCCTGAATAGGGTTTCCGAGGCTGTAAATCTTTACGGGAGCAGATCGCCTCATCTTTCTCCCGCGGAGCAGCTGGTAGTTTCGAACTGCTGACCTTCCAGTTCGCAGCCCGATTCGTAACCCCTACGCTACCAGAGCTCCTTGCTCTACAACACTTTAAAAAGTTCCTGTGCAGCATATTTGCCTAATGCAATATGTCGTCTGATCTCTTGACTGCTGTTTCCATGAGTGTTGATAGTTGATACAAGAAGAAAACCTCAAGTTGTAAGGCATTCAAAATATGATTGGGAAGAGCTGCCTTAAAAGAGTAGAGTTAACCGTGATGAATGGAATGAAGGTCTCAGGACCCTAATTTGCTGATGGGGTACAACTCAAAATGAAAATTAATAGCTGTAAACATCCATTAATAATAAAACATGTTGTTGTTAGGTGCCGTGGAGTCGGTTCCAAATCATAGTGACCTGGTACAGGGTTTCCAAGGCTGTAAATCTTTACAGGAGCAGAAAGCCTCATCTTTCCCCATGAAACAGCTGGTAGTTTCGAACTGCTGACCTTGAGGTTCCCAGCCCGATTCCATAACAACTACGCTATCAGAGCTCCTTAATCAAACATGGAATGTATGAAGTATGAATCTAGAAAAATTGGAAATTATCAAAAATGGAATGGAAAGCACAAACATTGATATCTTAGGGATCCTGAGCAACAAATGGACTGCTATTGGCCATTTTTAATCTGAAAATCACATGTTTTACTATGCCAGGCAAATTAAAGGGAAATAGCATTACATTCATTATCAAAAAGAACATATCAAATAGGAGAACATTTAGGCTGGTTTGCATGGGCTAAGTGTGACAGAGGTAAATAGTGATGTATGCTCAACCTTGGAACAAAAGGGCTCTGGGATACAGGGATTGAGGCATGGTTTGAATGGGTAAACGAGGGGAAATAATGTTAAGCTGCTTGGTTGTCTTTTGAATCCTGGTTTCCCTTGTCTAAAATTGTAAAATAGACACTTGAGGGGGAGAGAAAGGAATAGCCAGAATCATCACCATAGAAAGCTTGTAAGTCCGTCTTCAGGCTATAACTGATTGGAATACCTAAAATGGGGCTAGGACTTGCCCACTGAAGTAGGCTTCCTGAAGAGCTTTTGCATTGCATAAGACCATAGGTGGAATCCTGATCCTTATCCGGAATCTTCTGAGGTGGGAAATTTCCACTTGATAGGACAAGCAGACCAGCCTGGAGAGGCTAGAAGAACAGAAGATACTGCTTGAAAAAAAGACCAGCAGAAAAATAAAAACAATGAAGTTCTTGACTACTACAAGAACAAGCAAGGTGTTCACTGGTGGAGCCACCAAGGCAAGCGGTTGAGTCCCCTCAGGACAAACCCCCTTCCAAGACTGAGACTCAAAGGGAATAAACAAGCAGACATGTGGTCTTGCTGTTGATGATGTTGGTCTACTGATAAGGGGAAGTGGAGGAAAAACAGCAATGAAGTTGTGAGGCAAGTCCGACCACGTTCAGTAGGCTGCTGTCAACCTGGGTGAGACCTGGTTAGCCAGCAGTGTGGCGAGACCTGGGAACTCCTGGGCCCAGGGACAGGGATGTGGCCACAGAGGACTAGAGTGAAGAGTGAAGTGTCCAGCAGATATGAAGTGAGGGGAGATGCACAAGAACACCCATAATTGCAGATAATACCCATTTGACCTGGATTCAATGACTAGATGATTAGAATTAGACTAGAGGAAGAAAGAAGAGGAAAAAAAGAGTAATCAGCTACAATTTGATGAACCTGACCTATACTTATGGATGCAGTAGCTCAAAAGAGGGAACAAATCTTTACAGCGAGGATCATTCCCACTCCCTCGGTACACAGAGTTGACAGGGATGGGCAATTTAGACATTGGCTACCCAAAATTTTTTTTTTTGGGGGGGGGGGGGGCTATAAAGGCAAGAAGTGACTGGCTTACAAGCTTTCAAGAGGGAGTCTAGTTTCAAGAGGGAGCCTAGTTTCACAGGGGGAAGGTAGAATCTCCACTGAGTGGTTTCCAACCTGTCGGGACCGGGCTGGTGAAAGAAGATGGGCATAAGACTCTTGTAGTTCAGTAGTGAATAATTGCTATCAGGACTGATTATGAATGTTGCAAATGAAGGTAGACATTTTATAACAAAAGGAAGGGAGTGGTTCATCTTGCAGTCTAGAAGAGGAGTACCCTGGGACCATCAAGGGAGAGGAGTGGAGTGCAAAACCCTATCTAGAGAAGCAGTCATGCCAGAGATGAAGGCAGAGACGATGACATGGAGAGATGGAGCAGCTGGGGACTCAGGGAGGGAGAAGGGCTGTGTGTTGACGGCCAGTGGGCAAACTTACAGGGTGTAACCTTTGTTTGTTTGAATGGTTGTATATTATTGAGTGCTTCAGTGTACATCGAAACAATGAAAAAACAACACAAACAAACAAAATATCAAGATCTGTGTTGAAGTCCAACACTGTCTGTGATAGGATAATGTCCATCCATCTACGACAAAGACCAATTTTACCAACTTCTTTAGTCTGAAAATTGACCAAACATGAATCAAGATATATTGATAATTACTGGTGATTAGAATACAAAGGTTGGAAACAAAGAGGAAGGATCAGTAGTTAGAAAACATGGCCTTGGTGATACAAATAGTGCAGGAAATCGCATGATAGAATTTTGCAAGACCAACAACTTTCTTATTGCAAATACCTTTTTTAAACAGCATAAAAGATGACTATTCAAGTGGACCTCACCACATAGCACAGGGAAATCAAATGACCTACATCTGTGGAAAGATATGGTGGAAACGTTCCATATCATCAGCCAAAACAAGGCCAGGGGCAGACTGTGTAATAGACAATCAATTGCACATATGCAAATTCAGGCTGAAGCTGAGAAACATTAAAACAGGTCCAGGAGAGTCAAAAGATGACCTTGAACAGACCCCACCTGAATTTAGAGATCATCTGAAGACCAAATTTGATGCATTGAACACTAAAAAGCAAAGAACAGAAGTGTTGTGTAACCACATCAAGATCATCGTACAGGAAGAAAGCAAAAAGCCATTGAGAAAGCACAAAATAAAAGACATAAATGGATGTCAGAAGAGACTATGAAACTTGCTCTCCAACATATGGAGATTCTAAAG